GTATCCAGAACACGATTCGCATGGCAACGAGAATACCAAAATCGACTGCCTTGCGTTTCGCTGATCGAATACTTGCGCTCACCGCTTTGAAAGCGTAACGTTTTGGACTGTTGTTCGAGGTATACCCAGGGTATCGGACACATGACGTTGACTTCAGCCATCCTCAATTAAAACCACAATACGAGCAACATCCGTCACAGACAATGGCATTTTTTAATTTGACAACCGTTGTTGTCATATTGCAAATACTCATAAATCCATTTTCGCCTATGTCGCCTTGATTATTTACACATAAAACTTTCTGCCTGCGAAGCATTTTTCCGAGACGTTCGTTTTAAAAAAAAATTCTCACAAAAGATGAGGCAACAATGGGATTTGATTTAGCAATAGCTACTACAGCTGCTGCATCCTACAGGGTGTTACAAAATACGGGCAAAAAAATTCGTCTTATTTTTGTGCCCTGTATATGCTCAAAATAAATTTGGAATAAAAATTTCTGACGTAGCATCCGGTAAGAAGGAATTAATTTACAATTTAAAAAAAAATCCTCAAAATCTAATTAGTGGTTCGCGAGAAATCCGACTTTGAAATTGGGACTAGTTTTTAGTGGCCGGTTTTTTTTTTGCCGGTGAGTTAAATAATTTTCTTTACAAATTTTATATATCGTCATATCCCGCATTTATACTTTCTTCACCCTTCATTTATATCAACTTGCTCCCCTCTAGACCACCGGCTGGCGCCACCCTTGCACAGCAGCGTGTTTCCCTCTTATCACAACCTCAATTTCCTTAAGTTATCCAGTCGAATCCCACCACTCAGATATGATTTAAACCAGAAGATCTCTCACGATATCCTCCGCAGCCAGTGGCGGCCCTAATTGTGATTAATCGCTACCTTAAGAACATCGAAACAAAACGATGCGTCAGGATAATTTGTCTTTTACGTCCGACGCCAGCTGCGATTCGACCCTCGCCGAGCTATCCACCTTGGCGCTGGAAATATGGCCACCGTACATCTCCCTGATTGGCTAGACTTAGAGAAAATTGTTATTGTTTTGGTTTCGAATAGAAAATCGGTGGGATTTAGACGAGAACGCTTGTTATGGAAGGTTTTTGGTCCCGTGGGTCCGTTTACATGGGTCTGATTAGTATAAATGGTAGTGGAATTATTTTTGTTTTGTTTTGAAGGCGCTTGGGGGGTTTAAAAAAATTGAGTGTGCATATTTGATGTGAAACTTCTTATTAACAGCTCTTAAATTGAAGGATTTGAAGGGTATATATTTTTCTATGAATGCTTTTTATAAACTTCAAAAAAATAGAGTTAATACACAGGGTGGTCCGAACTGTATTCCGTAAACTTTAGCAGCATATTCTGCAGATAAAAATAATTAAAAAAGTTCGTATAAATGTATGTCAAAAAATGCTTAGTTTCGGAGATACAGGGTGTAGAAGTTTCATTTTTATTTCGATGTTTTCTAAATAATTTCTGAAGTAACGTCAATATTTGGATGAAAATTGGTGTCTGGGAGTTTTGTGACACGAGAAATTTGATTGGGACGCCACCTACATGTGTTTTAACGGTTCTGAAGAGTAAAAACTTTTCGTCCGTACCTGTATAAAGCTATATACTTACTAAAAAAATATATATTTCCATGAATTTTATGAGCAACCGTCGTCAGGATATTTAGAATGGAAATAATCAATACATGTCATTATTGACAAAAAATAAGCACACGTTAAGTATAGTTATTTGACTGAAATAATAAATTTTTCTGCCAAACAATGATGATTAAATAGTTTCTGTTGAACTTTTGGTGATTTTTTCCAAGAGACCTTTTTTATGTAAAAAAATCGTAAATGTATATTTTTTTACTCAGTGGTTTTATACCGGTATGGAGGAAAATTTATTACTCTTAAAAACAAGTTAAAAAATATGTTGGTGGCGCCCTCTACAAGAAGAGGTCATATTGACATGAAAATCTCAATCAATCAATTTCTCATGTCATAAAACTTCTAGACAACAATTTTCATATATATCCTAACCGAACCTAACCAAATATTGACGTTACATCATAAATTATTTGTAAAAAATCGAAATAAAAATGAAACTTCTACACCCTGTATCTCCGAAACTAAGCATTTTAGGACATACACTTATACGAACTTTTTTACTTATTTTAATCTGTAGAATATGCTGCCAAAGTTTCCGGAATACAGTTCGAACCACCCTGTATAAATATACAACCATTATACCATTCTAGCTTTATAATTTTATAATGTTTTTTTACTTTTTATTAAAAAACGATAATTCTATCACTCGGCCGGATTACCCTAGCAGCTGTGGCCATTAAACCAAAATACTACTACATCTATATCTCTGACTACTACTAACTGCTACTAACCTAAGGTTATTAAAAGGTAAGGTTGTCTCGTAACTTTTGGACCAATAGGAGCGAAGCGGAATAGCATCTCTCTGACGTAGATAGAACGTATAAAATCATAGATAAAAGGAATAGAAAATAAAATGCAACCGACAAAGAGAGATAAATGGACAATACAATAAAGAAAACACACATCAAACAACTGAAAAATATTGATGCCATATACTATAAACAATAAAGTACACAATGAATATCGATTTGGAAATGCACTGTTGGACTGTGAGCAGTTTTTATCCCTTTATCTATGACCGGTATCACTTCTATGACGTAGTAGATGACGTTTTCAACCTTACCTTTTAATAACCTTGCTACTAACCAACAATTTGTTTTGTGTGGTCTATTTTTGTTTGAATGTTTTGTTCATTATTCATATTGGGGATTTATTTTTAAATTAATGTTAATCGTTAGGCAAACTCATAGAATATGTATTTCTTTTGCATAATCAAAATTGTCACTCTAAATTTTACATAACCAAATTGTTACTCTAAATCGCTGTCTTTTTTAAACAGATGTCACTTGTCTTATCATTATTCAATTCATTATTCGAATTCTGTAGCGTTTTTATAAAAAATTACCACTGCGAACGGCAGCTTTTCATCGGAGAGCAGTCGTGGATAAGATATTTCACTAGAGAGAAAACTAATGAATAACAATAAACAAGAAAATATAGATATTGGGCGCCAGGCATGTACAGAGAAAGAAAACACAGTTGTATATTACTTAAAACTAATGGCTATATTTATTCATGATGAATTCTTATGGTAAATAGCATTGTACAATTTTAATAATTATTATAGTGGTTAAATACTATTACAAGGCGTAATGTAATGAAACCTAAGATCTAAGTCATATTGTAACTACTAAATCGACATAAATGTTCTTAATAATCTAACCACTAAATATAGTCTGTACGACATTATTTAAAATGTACGTTATTAAGTTAAGACTGAAAATCGACTGAAAATCTGAACCTAAATCTACACTTAGCTGTTCTTAAGGCAATCCTGTTTCGAAGAGTAGCAGCGTGAGGTAGGCTCATATCTCTGTACTGTTTGTCGGCGATCCTGTTGGCCAAAACAACAAAAGGGGCCAGAATGAGGACACCATGAATTGGAACAGCTGTAACTACTGACTAGACTGAGAAATGGGAACGAAGCAACATGGGGCTTACGCTACATCCATACTGTGGCAATATGGGGACACTACCCGTACCTTGGAACACTACTAGGGCCTTGGATAATGCCCGAACCTTGGAATCAATACATAGATATGGGACACCTGCCCATACCTTGGACACAGTCCGTCCATAAGATAACGGTACAGGGGAACACTACCCGTACCTTAGACACAGTCCGTCCATAAGACCCTAAAAATACGAAACTTTTGTTTAAAAAACCAAACAAGGTCTAATAAACAAAATAAACCTACCTCGAAACACTTCCGAGGGCTTAATAATAAACAAAAGAACTGTCCTTTCTTCCATTTAACATTCTGGAGGACAAGAGCAAAAGTACACCAACGTGTCAGCAAAAATACAAATACGAGTTAAGGTGGGTCAATCCAAAACTCTACCCTAAAAATATTCAATAATAATATCGAATCTATAAAAGATAATAACTCATCTTTACATGTAGCTTCGAAATGGCAGCTGATTCAGATTTTGCAGCAAGATTTAAATTGCCATTTCTAAAAGCAGGATTTGCAACCGTGCCGCAAACCGCAAAAAACAAAGTGAGGTTAAAACGCAGAGAGGCGCCTTGACATATAACAAGGATCTTAACAGCGCGCGCCTCCACAGAACAGTGAAACGATAGCAGGGTTGGCGACTAGGGAACGTAAAAATTACGCCAAGCGTGCCAAATAAATTATCAGACCTGAACGGTACGGAATCCGGTGATGATAGGTCAGACATCATATATTATATATAAAAAAGACATGTAACGAACTAATAACGTTACAATCGCAGAATGTTGTAAAAAAAGTTTCATCTCAAAATAAAATTTTAATCAATCACAATTGTTTATCTCCATCATTTACCGGATTAATAATACAAAAATTACAGTTCAATTAAAACAATTCATTATTTATAGTGATTTACAGTAGTTTTATTAAAATATATGAATATTCTCGTTGATTAATTATTAGTTTGAAATAAATATGACAGTGACTAAAACCAAAAAGACAATAAATTTTGTCTTTTTGGTCTGGAGACGATATAAACTTATATTAATTCAGTAAGAAATAAAAAATGTTTATAACCACTCCAATAATAACATCCCCTCCTCCAAAAACTCCATTTATTCCTTCATTTCCTCCCCGAAATCACTTCTAATATCAACTTTTATACTGCCTCCCGAGCTCCATAAATAGTTTTAAAAGATTCTTCTCTCTGCTCACCCACTCACTCGTCCGAAACTTAATAGAATAATACCTTATAAAAAGTTTCGAATACGACCGTTTCTCCCGTTTTCAGAGAGATAGTGTTTAGGAGAGAGGGAGAGAGAGAGAAACAGCACTGCTGGAACTGACTAAAACTTGTTTTTTTCTCTGTTTGTTGCAGGTTTCGGCTTTGTCACATTTCAGAGCGAAGATGTCGTCGATAAAGTTTGCGAAATTCATTTCCACGAGATTAACAATAAAATGGTAAGTTTTTTCTCCAGTATTATTTCGGTCGTTTTTCATTATTTTTCACGATTTTCGCTAGAAAGGCGGAAAAGAAAGTTTTTCTCATTGCTGCTACGTCGCGTCGTTGTCGGTTGACGTTTCTGATAAATTATAAAATTCGGAAAGTTTTCAAAATAGAAATAGATTTTTGATTGAAAAAAAAAGACCCGATAGAATCTTTTTTTAAATTAATTTTTTTCATTTTTGTTTAGATCACGTCCTTTGACATTTTAACTGTAGATAAATGTTATAAATTATTCTAATTTGTGTTTTCAATTATTTTAATGCTTTAGTCAACTTGCAAGTCGGAATTTAATTTTTAAAGTTTTTTTTCAATGGATTCCAGATGCCTGGCATTTCAATAATTCTGAAATCAGTAATTCTATAAAGGCATATCATACAATAAATAACTGTATTTTTAGTTGCCTTTTCTTAGAAAATATAAAAATTGCAGAAAAGTCAGTAGCGTACATTTCTTCTCAATTATTTCAATAAGATGTCTTCTGGAACACCAATGAAGTTAATAATTTTAATAGTATACAGAGTGGTTCAAAAAAACATGTGCCATCTCTCTTGTGGAGATACCTTACGTAAAAATAAGATTTATTTTTCATATCATTTTTTTTTCATATAAGTCCGATTCTGCTTTGTTTCGTAGCTACAGGATGTTAAGTCTTAATAATCTTTCGATTTATTATAATTTTCTGCCAAGTACTTTTAGTGATTCGAATGAAATTTTGAGGGTAAAAGCTACTATAAGTGCTACATATTTTAGTGCTAAAAAAGTGTCGATAAATTCATCAGGGACGTGCATATGGGTTATCACTGGAATGTTTAAAAAAAAACATGTGCGCCACTGACTTTTTTCTTGTGATATCAAAATTGTCTAGGTCGTTTAATGCCAATTAATAGTTAGCTCTTGATATTTTGTCGAATTTGACCTCCTGATGAGATAAATGCAATTTTATTAATCACAATTAATAAAATTAAAATAAAATTAATAAATTATATATTTTACCTAATTTATTATTAAATATTATTACTATTAGTTATTATTACTATTAGTCTAACCTACAACAATGTCAAATAAAAAAGTAATAGTATTTAAGATAATTACAAAAAATTTAATTTTATAAATTTTAACATCCTGTAACTCTAAAACTATGCATTTCCATACCCATGTTTATAGGAACTTTTTTTCAAATTTTTTGATGAGGAATTAATAGGAATGTATTTAAAACTTTTGCAAGTTACTGATATTATTTTTTTAGATTTGGATCAAAGCAAATTAATAAAATTGCATTCAACTCATCAAGGAGGCTCAAATTTTTAATCGGCATTAAACTGCTTACATTATTTTGCTAACAAGAGAAAAAAAGTCAGTGGCGTACATGGTTTTTTTAGAAAAAGATTCCAGTGATAATCCATATGCACGTTCCTGGTGAATATGTCGACACTTTCTTAGCTTTAAAATATGTCGCATTTATAGTAACTTTTACCCTCAAAATTTCAGTCGAGACGCTAAAAGTACACGGAAGAAAATAATAATAATTCAAAAAATATTAAGACTTTAACGCCCTGTATCTATGAATCAAAGCAGAATCGGACGTATATTGATATGAAAATTAAATCTTATTTTTACGTACGAGAGATGGCACATCATGGCATTTTGAAACTCCATGTATAAGCCATTAAAATAATAGAAAATAATGCCAACAAATTTATCTACAAACTAATACCATAATCATAAAAATTGGATTACAAATTCAAAGATTATGAAACATCAAACTTAGTCAAAATTTTACGGTGGCGGAATTTTGTGCCGGGGAATTTAGAATCTTTGGGAGGGGGTTTAACCACCGCGACCTTACATATCTATTGTGTGTCCTCTTTCTTGAGTTATAACTCATCATTCATCATACGGTCTCAGGGCTTTGACAAAAGCCAGTATCTGAAACGGCCTCACAGAGAGACAGACTATTCTTAGTCTCACTGTTCACGGTAGTCTTCATGGTTCTTACTCTCGTATTACGCTCTCGTTCTTACGCTATTCTTAATTACTAACATGTTAATTTTTAATTGTTAACAAATGTTGCATTTTTCAACTCCCTTCCTATCTTGATTATCTTATAACTTATCGAAAAGGTAAAATCCGAGCCCCATAAAGTTTTTCACGTAGAATTAGTGACATAACAAGGTTTTTGCTGGGATCTGTCATTCTTGAAATATCACCCACATAAACTTATTAACGATTAAACGATTTTTTTTAAGTGGGGTACTCTGTATTACTTATTTTCATAAATAAGGTAAAAAATGCATTATTAAACTTTTTAGCATATATCAAGAACTAAGAGGGATAGAATAAATATGTGTGTCAGATCTTTAGTTTCATAAAAATGTAGCGTAATGTGAATACCGCACTTGTATCTCTATTCATAAACGAGAAACCCTATAAAACACACGAAAATGGGACACCCTGTACATACAGTATCTTAAACAAATATTAGTTCTTTACATCTCCCGAGCAATGACGCAAGCATATTCCTCCAGACGTCCCGGATTATTAATGAAGGCGATAATAAGGAACGAACGGCCAAACTCCGGAACAAGCTACTCTTCCCCCTCAACCAAAGCTACTCTTCCCCCTCTTGCCCCTCTACGCCGGACAAATGGCGTAGAGGCCACTTAAAAGTTTCCCTTCATCCATGCACGCTTTCCACTTACCATTTCGACCATAAATATTACTTCAGAAATTTGAATTTCGGCCCTTCCAAGCTTTGCGAATTTCAATAAAGAGGCCCTGGGATGTGTAAGGGATATCTGGAGTGGATTGGGGGAGCCGTAGGGACTCTGGCTTGCGTCATTGCGAAGAAATTCGGAGAAAAAAAACACCGGTGCGGTTCTAATGGAAGTTTTTCGGTAGGCGGGGGTAAATTTATTAAGGATAGGGTAAAACTAAATAAATATTAAAGGAATTTATTGAAATGTGATATTTGGATTGTAGATTGTATGGGAGGAGGGAAGTTAATCACCGCGGTATTATAGATCCATCGTTTTCCCCTTTCTTAAGTTATAACTCATCATACAGTTTCAGGGCTTTCACAAAAGCCACTATCTGCGACGGTTTTACAGAGGTTAGTTCAATATCTCCGATATCTGTCGTATCAAAGTTTGTGGCACTCATGGTAGTCGTCTCGGCACCTCCAGTGATGGGGTTCTAATGTTTCCAGTTTCTTAGCTTCAACCTACTGAGGTGTTCATTGTGGAGACGGTGTCCTGTTAAAAACTCCGTGAGAATTCGAAGATTGTTCTTACTTAAATGAAGGAAAATCTTTGGTTTTTCTCGGTCGTAAGTCTTGAGAAATTTCTTCGAGTGTCCTAGATCGTTACAGGATTTCCATTCCAGGTTATAGATGGAGTTTTGAGGTTCTTGAATTCAGCGACTCTGGTCCGTTAAGTGGAGTACTCGCTCCTTTTCTAGCTAGATCGTTTAATTTCTCATTATTTTCTATCCTATTGTGGACTGGCGCCCAGAGTTAGCCCCCTTTATTATCTTTGCCTAATTTGTTCAGCTTCCCTGACTGAATTCATAGCTTTTAATGCTGGTTGACTATCAGATAAGATGGCTATTTCTTATTTCCTATACTTCCTATCTAAGAAAAAAAACAAAATTTAAGTGAGGATGCAATCAATAATCACCACTTACGCTAATAAAACTACTTTTTCAAATTTGTCAAGCTTTCGAGAATTTTATTCCCATCATCAGGACAGTTTGACTGAGTCAATTAGCAAAAAAAAACATCCTCTGCACAAAAAGGCCTTAAAAACTAGCATCGTTTGGCATTGGAATACAAGGACATTTCCTTTATAAAGTATTAAAATACATATCCAACGACATTACTTTTCTTTTAAACACAAAACAAAAAAGATTTTTTTAAATTTACTTAACTAATTTCTACATTGTAGCGTTTTTAGTTCGTTACATGTATTTTTTATATATGATTTATATGTCTGGCGTATCGTCATCGGATTCCGTATCGTTCAGGCCTGATAATTTATTTGGCACGCTTGGCGTAATTTTTACGTTCCCTAGTCACCAACCCTGTTATCGTTTCACTGCTCTGTGGAGGCGCTGTCAACATCGCTCCAAGGCTAGGTCGCTATCCGCGCTTAACCTCACTTTTGTTCACCCGGCTTTTAGAAATGGTAATAATTTAAATCTTGCTGTAAAATCTGAATCAGCTGCCATTTCGAAGCAACAGGTAAAAATGAGATATCTTTATTAGATTCGTTATTATTATTGAATATTTTTAGGTTAGAGTTTTGGATTGACCCACCTTAACTCGTATTTGTATTTTGCTGGCACATTGGTGTTCTTTTGCCTTTGTCCTCCAGAATGTTACATGGAAGAAAGGACAGTTTCTTTGTTTATTATTGAGCCCTCGGAAGTAATTCCAGGTAGGTTTATTTTGTTTATTAGACCTTGTTTGGTTTTAAACAAGAGTTTCATATTTTTATTGTCCAAGGTACGGGTAGTGTTCCCCTGTACCGTTATCTTATGGACGGATTGTGTCCAAGGTTATGGTCCAGGTTACGGACATTATCCAAGGTCCTAGTAGTGTTCCAAGGTACGGGTAGTGTCCCCATATTGTCACAGTATGGATACAGCGTAAGGCCCCATGCTGCTTCGTTCCCATTTCTAAGCCTAGTCAGTAGCTACGGCTGTATTGATTCATGGTGTCCTCATTCTGGCCCCTTTTGTTGTTTTGGCCAACAGGATCGCCGACAGATAGTACAGAGATATGAGCCCACCTCACGCTGCTACTCTTTGAAACAGGATTGCCTCAAGAACAGCTAAGTGTAGATTTAGGTTCTGGTTTTCAGTCAATTTTCAGTCTTAACTTAACGTACATTTTAAATAATATCGTACAGACTATATTTAGTGGTTAGATTATTAAGAAAATTTATGTCGATTTAGT